AGTTGACCTTTTTAATTACTATATTCTATATGTTGTAAGCCCTTATTTTTCGTACTTGTTGCAGTTAACATGGTGTATGGATATTGGCTCAAAGGGAACTCCTATGCAGCATTAAGTTGCTTGGTATGTGCCTCAAAGGATAAAATGAGAATTTTTTTAGTAATCAGATATGATGCAAAAGGTGGTAACCTCTTCTCTGCTGTCTTGTCTACCCTAATAGCAAGAAAGTATGATTTGAAGTTTGTCTGGAACAGAGAAGCAATGTTCAGTCTAACGAGTTTCTGTCACCACCATTAGGATACTCCCAATAATTGCTAAGGTTATTAGACGCAACCCTGAAAGCATCTTCAGGGTTACCATCCGGTCTTCTCTTTTTTAGATTTTTTGCTGAAAATTCCATATCCAGAGTTTCCCTGATGCTAAGAGTTCATCCTTAAATGTTAGATTTGTTTACTTATTTATTTTGAATCCTATTCTTGAACTATGTATCTGTCTTAAATTTAATTGCATTACATGTCAGTATTTGGTATTATCTCAATCATTTTCACCTCTCTCTCTCATCAGATATTTGCTACAATCATCTTCAGATGTGACATGCTGTTACTTCTTTGCCCTCTTGGCTTAGAGTTTTTGATGGTATGTGGATGTTACAAAGGACTTTTGGTTTAAATTAATTTCTTGGTTTTTACTATTTAACTTATCTTGCTGGATATTTGATTTATTATCCATTTCAATTGTGAATTTTTCAGGTCATTTTCCTTAATTATTTTTCCATAGGAAACATTACATTTTCATTGATAAAATAAAAACGTGTTCGTCCATGTCATATTTCTTAATTCTATCCATTTTCTTGTTCTTTTACTAAACGTAGGTTTCTGCCCGGATTAATGGGGTTTCACGTTTCAGAAGTAGAAATCAATTATGGAAGCTGATGATGTTTCTTGAATTTTATTAGTCTACATGATAAATCAATGCATCCATGGCTATAAAATTCAATTTTTAGTTCAATTTCTTGTAATTTAGGAAGAGAGGCACAAAGAGATTGATGTTTGTTAACAAATTCGTTGTTATTTATGGTGCGTCAGGGAGCCAAATGAGGTGCTATCTTTATTGAAGCCTTGCACTTTTAATTAACTGACAACACATCTAACATGTTAGTCGGTGAAAATAAATTTCAATAAAACATGTCTCTCATTCAACAATTGACATCAAGGCATTAAAAACTGAAAAGAGCCCCGAACCAGGTCAAGAGAGTTGCAAAACACATATTGGCAATGTAGTGTGGATAAGTTTGATGGGGAAAGAGGATTCAAATTTTACAATTATCCTTACAAAGATGTGTCCCTGATCTCAATAATTTTTAAATTTCTTCCCAAACAGATCAAAATGATATCATTTTGGGGGGCACTAAAGCGCTGCGTTGGCATTGCTTTGTTGTGTATAGGTTGGTAAGCTATTAGTGCTAGCATTTTAATTCATCATTTAATTGTAACTCCTTTGGCTTGGGTGAGGCTTTGCCTCCTTTTGTACGTTCATTTTATCAATGGTATTAATTTCCTAAAAGTTCTTCATTTATCTGAGCTTATTAAGTAATTTTTTTTTGCTGTTCTTTAATCTCTATTATTTTTTGCTGAGATCTGGGTTTGAATCTGTTTATTTCACAGGTCTTACAGTTTTTGTTGATTCAATATTATGGAAGAAATTATTGTGGCCCGAATTTCATGTTTTCTGGTTCAACTCTGTTCTAAACCGGAGTTCAGAATGGGGTGTATCCTTCCAAGAGAGTTCCTTTCCTTTTTTTTTTGGTTGTGGACTGCTTTATTCAACATAGTTAAATGATCAAATACGCAAAGTTCTTTCAATATCGATTAATAGTAGATGTTAACTTTCGCTTTTCCCACATCTTTAGGTCTACAGTGCAAATTCAGAAAAGTCTCTCACTCTCTCTTAAATTTTTTTTTTTTGAAAGATATGCTTCAGTGGTTTGACGTTGTCCTCAGCTATAGTTCAATCCTTATGGATTGTTAAACTTAATCATTCATGGGTGCATGAATTTGTTAATTGTAGGGGGACGAGTTTTACAGAAGCTTAGGAGCTACTTGGAGGTTCAGTATTGAGTCTGAAATTTGTTTTTGTTTCCTTAAAACAAAATATTAGCAATTAGCGAAAACAAAATATTAGCAATTAGCGAAAACATGTTTGGTTAATTGTTTCTAAAGTTGTTTTCCTTCAGTTTATTCTTACGAGTGACTTTCTCTGAGAATGACTCGAGTTGTTTTTTCTTTCGAGAATTGTAAGCTCAATTCTTTTTAATCGAAAAACCAGCTTAAAATGAAGATGGAATTATGAACTCATTTACCATGATTCCAACACATGATAATATCAACTTTTACAAGTTACACTGTTACATCTCAATAAAAAAGTTTTTGAAAACTGGTTTGCGAACTATTTAGCAACCTCTAGTTTTTTTTTTTCTTTTTGGAAAAATGCTTTCCTTGTGTGCAGATCATGATGTTAATAATGCTAGCATCAGGTCATTACTCTGAGATAGAGATGTACTAGTACACTTCTTTAATAACTTTGACCCAGACCCATCCTGTGCACTGGTATTTCACTTCAGCACTTCCACGATCATTACTTGCTGGATATCCTCTTTTTCTGGTAAGTCTTTCTAAACAATGTTAACAGAAGACATTACGTCTGAAAACTACCATCTTGTTTTCTTATGTCTGTAGAATCATATACCAGCTGTGGAATGTTTTTCTAATCTCCGTACAAGGCACTACTAATTTGTTAGTGGCTAGCAATTATTTCATTTTTACTCTCTCTACTGTGCATCCTAGCTGTTTTTGATTCTGACCTGGATATTGTTCCTAGATTCAGTGCCAGTTTTAGTTGACAAAAAAATGTTGAACAACCAATTATTTCTCAATGCTAAAACAAGATCTCATAGTTTCTGTATTGCAATATTACTCATTGAAATATAACATCCGTGCACAAATCTGAAGTCTCTTACACGAGGTCATGAATTATCTTATCCTAGAAGGTTCATTAGGAGAAAGCCCCTCACTTGAGGTCATAGGCATTTGGCATATTTGGATTTCCTCGAAGGCTCAAGTACGTTTTAATTCCAATGACAGTACAATTCTGTTCCATAAGTTGAGAAACAATGTTTCTCCTTGTCTGATTGAATTGGAATGAGATATCCATGTTTTAAGTAGGAAATTATTAAGATGAAATTGGGCCGATTGGAAACACTATTTATCTTGCACGTGTCATGAATTTATTTGGTTTTGTCTCTTTACTTTTCTATATAACTTAACTTGATTTGTGTTGTTTTGCAGCTCGGTGTTTTTCTTGACAAGAGAGTTTTGACCTTCATTCTCCCAGTGTCGTGCTTCATTTTACTTTACTCTAAGCTTCCTCACAAGGTAAGGAATGTGCAACTGTTGGTCTGTGTAGCATCAACAACTTAATGTGTCATCCTGAAATATCTTCTTTTACTTGGCAGGAGCTACGCTTCATTATTAGTTCAGTTCCAATGTTCAACCTATCTGCAGCAATTGCAGCCAACAGAATGTATGCTTTGATGTCCATATTCTTTAAGCTACTAGCAGGATTACAAAATTTTGTCTGCAAAATGAAATGACTAAGGGATCTACCTATTGATGATGCTTACTAACTTGTCCTACTGATTCTCTTTTGAGTTGGCATTTTTGTATTTTTGTTTAGCTTCCTGACTTTTTGATACTGTGAATGGTTAATATATATAATAAAGTGATTTCCTTGATTGACATATGTATTGAATCTGTAGCTTTTCATGTCATACTATATTAAGTTCACTAGTATATTTTCCTTTTCCAGTTGTTCACATTCTTCTTTTCTTCATTTGTTTCTAACCAATCATATACTTTTCATTTTATCTTGTCACAGATACAACAATAAACAGAAGACTTTTTGGAAGTTGCTTTATCTTATTATGCTGGGATCACTCCTAATCAGGTTGAATGACTTTTCTGTGTTGCTTGGAAAAATATATATTTACCTCTTTATCCACTCATTTCTACTTTGTAGTCTAGGATGCACTGTCATCACTTTCTTGGCGTCATATGAGAACTATCCAAGTGGCTATGCATTAAAAGAGTTGCATCGGACTGGTAGGTCTTTCATACCCAAAGTCCCCAAGTTATTGTGCATGTGTGAGCGAAGTAATCTGGTTATGCATTCTTTGTTTTTTATTCCAATTTTTTGTGCTGGGTAGAATACCTGTTTTTTTTACTCCGATTATTCTCGTCAGGGCCCTTATTTGATTTTTCTTTTTTCTCGATGAAACTGGTTTTCATCTTTTACTAATTTGCCTCTACTGACTTTATTTCCTTATATCACTTCCTTTTGTTGCATTTTTTTTGATCATGTCTTTATTTCTCTTGTTGAGCAATTTGAACAGGCCTTCTATCCAACTCTGACGAGCAGTGGGTTCATATTGATTCATTTTCAGCCATGAATGGAATTTCACGCTTTTGTGAAAATGATTTTCCATGGAGGTAATTCACTGCTGGCCTTGGACAGGTTAATGTCTTGTCAATAGCTTCTTCTATCCTAAGATGAATTTCTTATAACATAAAAAAGAGACAATGCTTAGCCCTTAAGGAGAACATAGTTCCAATGATGTGTATGTAAACTTTCCGATAATTATCGGTGTTGTTGTTGTTTTTTTTTTTTTGTCATCTTGTTTACGGAAGGAAAAGGCCAAGGTTCCTACTTGAGCCAAGTTTAGCTGTCTCAGTCTTTTTTTCCCCCACAGAAATTTACATTTCCCATCTTGCTGTTTCCAAAATGAAACTTTGGTGCAAGTTGCTTAAAATAAAAATGAAACTTTGGTGTCAATTTTCATATGCTGCTGTATTCTACCTTTTTGTAGGACAACTCTAAACTGAAAAAGAAAAATATTGGTCTCGAAGTACATTCAAACTTTTCCATTTGGTCTTACTCTTAATTAGAGCATCGGATATGTAACACAGGTATTCCAAGGAAGAAGATGTTCCATTGGAAGAACTTCGCCTGAGGAACTTCACCTATCTTATTAAGTGAGTTCTTCATCACCCTTCTATTGCAAGCTGCATTGAGCTAGAATGAGACAACATGTTCTTGGAATCTCATTTCTCCCCTCTTGTATATGCATACACCACTCATCATCCTAAAATTTGGACCTTGTTAGCACTCCTATATCTGTGTTCGATACACCAGTAAGAGAAAGGGGGTCTATAAGATAATTGTGTTTATGTGATCCCATTCTTGTTATACATGTACAGTGAAAATCCAGTTATTGATGGATTCAGTTGCTTATTTTCTATAAGCGGGTTTTTGAGGTTGCGCCTTCAAATGCGATTTCCACCTATTTTACTGGTACATAACTTGTTCTTGAATGACCCAATCGGCGCCATAAACTGTAGATGATTCTTAGGATGTCTATTTATTATCTACCGCAGGTGACAGAACCAAAAGTTTTTGTTCATGGCAACTCGGAGAACATGGATATCCTGCATAGAAATTGGCCAGGATGCTGATGTAGAGTAAAGTACCCTTCTCTCTGTTCTCCATATAGAAGTTATTGTTGATTAAACTTAATTAAATTCAGTTCGAACTCTTGGTCCATTCTAGGCAAAGGTTTTTTTTAAACTGTTGAGCTACATTAAACTGAATGGTTCTTATATAACACTTCAAACTTTCTTTTCTTGATACTCTTAATTATTATGTCTTCTGTGAACTAACTTCTGTCACCTTATGAATTGCTGCATACAAAAGCAAGCATGAGTATATGGATCTCTTCCATCTAATTTATATACGTACTTCCTTGGATTACTTTATTAGGATGTGACGTGTATTGTTGGTATTTTTAGTCGTATTTTATTTTGTACACTTTCTAAAAGATTGAGATTTGTATGTTTAATTTGAATGTGAGATTTCTGGATACTTGATTTAGAGTGTCATATATTATTAGACGTGTTCTATTACATGGCGGTGATTTCTTTATTGTTTAACGAGAAAATTGCACAAACCTCCCTTCAACTATGGTGGCTATTACCATTGCACCCACCAACTTTTAACTATAAAAATTAAAACCTCAAACATTCCAAAGGGAAGATTGATGGTAAAAATTAAACCCTCAAAACTAAAAAATTGAGTCTTTTTCTACTCTCTTTCTCTCTCACCTTCCCCTCTCTCTCTACTTCCTCTGTCCCCCTCCCTTCCCCATTAGTTACCTCCCTTCCCCATGAGTTAGAGACCTTTTAAGTGGAGTTTAAAAGTAAATTCATACATACTTAAACTACAAAAAACAATATCATATTATTAGTATAGGTTAAAGAGTCTGAATGAAAGAACTTATTTGAAATTTTTATAGTAGAAAATGGAAAAAAGGGTTAACAAACAACTTCATAACATTCCCTCACTTGTTATATTAAAGATGGTTAGGCTTACTACAATGTTACATTCAATTTTTCTGAAAAGACAACACTGTAAACTTGAAAACATCCATCTTCTCTTCCCTTTTTCTTCTCTTTTTTCCGCTTTTGGCAACTTGAGGCATTTGCCAAGCTGGGACCTCTTTCTTGCATTTGTGATGAAACGTCTTCTCATTAATGTTCAAGAGATGAATGTCCATCCATTTTGCTATCTCTCTCTCTCTCTAATATTTGTTTATATGGTAGGAAATGATTCTAGTGGAAAGCTATAAGAGGAATAGAATAGCGACGATGGTGGTGAACTCACATGGGCAGCACATGGTGTTGAAAAGCATTAATGCTTCATCATAACAATTCTACTTTCTTTTTTAATATATCCACTTTGTTTTGTTTTGTTTCTAAACTCTTAAAAAACATAATAATCTTTATCTTTTCCCTTTTGCTTCACTCCAACTCCCATTTGAAGACACGCCGCCATCTCTCCAACTTGCTCCTCATTCCAAGCTTTCCCTTTCACTAGACCCCCTTCACACACACACATTTGATCATCTTTGTTTAATTGCATCCATGTACATGAAGTTCTAACTTCTCCTACTCTTGTCTTCGTATTTTTTCCGTTTTGATGTGCCTTAGAGGATTTAGACCCCGCACTTTATGGAGTTGTCATTTCGTGTACTTGTTTGGAATAGTTTTTCTTGGAGATCTTTGATTGTGACAAATATTGTCGCTTGATGATGGAGAATTTAGAAGCTATTGGTTCATCTGCTGGGATTGTTAGGTGCACGTGTTTAGGGGGCTCGAAAATCAAGGGGAGGTGTGGGCTATGATCACGTTACACATCTCTCTCTTTCGTGTCGATGCCTAAAGATCTTTATAACTACTCTTTATCTCTAATTCTCGAACAATTTTAAGTCCTTTTTTGTGTCACTGTGAGGTGTCTATTCTGTAGTGAGTTTTCTCCTTTCTGTAATGCATGTCTATATTATTTCATTAGTCTTTATGAGAGCTTAGGTTTCCATTAGACAAAAAAGTACTCTTAGTCAACTTATGCTCCACATTGCCAATGCTCTACCAAGCATATCTCCATATGGATTCTGAAGTTCATATGATTTGTCACATTGCACTCTCTAAAGGGAGCCAAATACCAGGCGAAAAATCGATAATTCGTTGTATAATAATAAGAGAAAAGAAAGAGTTGGGGAACCGAAAATTTTGTTGGGGCCTCTTTCTGTGGCATTGGAACAACAAAGAACTATATTCTAATGCCTTGGACCAACATAGCAAATCCATGTTATGTCACTTAGTTTGATTTAAATCCTCAACACATGCAAGATTCCATTTTAAAAGAGAAAAAAAAAGTGGGGAATCTATTTGAAGGAAAAAAAGAATTGCACATGGTATGCACATGATGGGCATGAGAAGCTATCAACCAAAAGATAGTCCCATTTATTACAAGAAAATGACACCTATTTTCTTGTGAATAATCCCTTTATTTTCCCCTCTTCCTCTAAGTTAATTGGGGAATGTCCAAAAGCATGGGATGGAGAAATCATTTCCACTGCCCAATTTCCTCAAACTTTTGTGTCAAAAGGGACCAATCTCATTGTCCCTATATTAGCCCCTTGATCAAACAAATCACATTGTAATGTTCAAACTATCTTATTGGTTTTTGTGATGAATTTTGTCATTATATTGTCAGTGGGAGAAAAGGGCAAAAAAGTGGGATTCTTTCTTCCCTTTTTAATTTTGTAAATAAATTGTCTAAGATATCTTGAAAAAAAAAAAAATCTTGGGCAGTTTTCTAAAAGATTTTTCGACTTGAACATAGTTAAGTTGGTAACTCTCCTAATGATTTGTAGGCTAGAATCACTTCTTTATTAGCAATGTACGGTGTGTTTGGGTGTGATTTTGGCGCAGGACCAAAATCACTTCTCTTTCTATTTATCATGTTTAGCAAATTAAAAAATTGATTTGAGGAAAGTTTAAAATCACTTTAAATTGATTTTTAAGATATCACTTGGATGGTGATTTTGAAAAATCAATTATACCACTCATCCTACCATCACTTCCAAATGATACCTTAAAAATAAATTTAAAGTGATTTTAAACTTTCCTAAAATCAATTTTTTTTTTATTTGCCATACATGGTCAATGGAAAGAGAAGTGATTTTGACAATTGCAAGAGAAGTGATTTTGACAATGGCAAGATGACCAAAATCACTCCCAAACACACTCGTAATTTAGTAAAAAAAAAAGTGGGATTCTTCTTTCTTCCCATTCTTTTTATTTTATTTTATTCTTTTAATTTCGTAAATTGGTAAGATATCTTGAAAAAAATTGAATCTTGGGCAGAACTAAACATAGTTAAGTAGATTAGACGTTAGTAATTCTCCTAATGGTTTGTAGGCTAGAATCACTTCTTCATTAGTAATGTAATTACCCACGGTCTGTAAGCTGGAATCACTTCTTTATTAGTCATCTAATTTAGCAAAAGAAAAAAAAAATTAAGATAAGTGAACTTTTTTGACATAACAATCACGATTTCACATTTTCGAGATGTAGAATTGCTAGATAACAAAAGTTGTACGTGTTAATTCCATACCTTCAAGGCACAGGGAAAAAAAATACATTCGAAGATGTAGAATTTTGATGAGGTATCCAATATGTGAAAAACTATCATATTTTTTTCGACACAATTTTAAACCTCTTTTATTCTCTCAAAAAGAGGGGGAAAAAAAAGTTAGGTTGAAATATTCTCTCCCTTATTGTAGATACCAAAAGTACCCCACCTCACCTCTTTATATAAAATCCCAAGCAAAGACACCAAAATTTTAGTTGTACAAAACTTTGCACACACAACAACAAGACCATCAAGAAAAAAAAAAGGCCCTCTTCAATGGTGGAAGGAGAAAGCACCTCTATGATGCCAAAGCTCATCACTTTCCTCTCCTCTGTACTTCAGCGAGTGGCCGAGTCGAACGACCATCTTGACTCGGCCATTGAAACGCAAAAGAGCTCGGCCTTCCACGGCTTGACTCGGCCCGGGATCTCTCTCCATAGCTACCTAGAGAGGATCCTCAAGTATGCCAATTGCAGCAACTCTTGCTTCATTGTTGCTTATGTTTATCTTGATCGGTTTGCTCAGAGGCAGCCATTGTTGCCCATCAACTCTTATAATGTCCATCGCTTGCTCATTACTAGTGTTCTTGTTGCTGCCAAGTTCATGGATGATCGGTAAGTTTTTCAAAAAAGCTTGGATTTTTGCAAAAACTAGTTGAGTACCGAAAAAAAGAAACTTGTTTTTTATTTGAGGGAATTGATGATTTTTTTTTTCTTTTTTTTTGCTTCTAATAATTTGGTGCTCGGAGTTCTACTTCTTGCATTATGTCCATGACCCACCTCTCACTAATACTGGGAGAGGCTTTGTCCACTCTAAAGTCGATTCCTTTTAAGTCATTAATTAAGTTCTCTACTTGAAGTTTAAAACTTGAAACTTTTTGTTTTGTTGTCAGTGTGAGTATTTGAGTTAACTTACATGTATTTCGGCTAATTTCACAGGATAACCACGTGACCCTATAACATTTAATTATCAAGAAAACTTGAAAGATTTTATCTTAAGTAGGTGGTTACCATGAAATTTGAAACTCATTCCACCAAAAGTAGTTTTGCTTTATTTCACATGTTCCAATGTCGTCATTATGTCGACCCATAGTGTGTTTGAACTCGAAACATTGTAGGATACATCTCAAAGTTTGAAAAGGGAACTGATTTTTTGATGGGTCCTTAAAAGTTTTTGTTTTAAAGGAAGAAGAATCGAGAATTCGACAAAATTTTACTACTTATTCAAGTTCTGTTCTGGGTTTAAATGAGAAGAAAACAATCTCATAATTGACATCTTCATTTTTTTATTCAGGTGCTACAACAATGCTTTCTATGCAAGAGTGGGAGGGATCAGCACAACAGAAATCAATTTTCTTGAAGTGGATTTCCTCTTTGGATTAGGGTTTCACTTGAATGTGACACCCAACACCTTCCACACCTATTGCTCCTCTTTACAAAAGGAGATGCTGCTGCAGCAACCTCCTCTAACTTCTCCAATTACTTCTATAACTTCTTCAGAAATATCACTAAAAACCAAATATTTGAGCTTTGAGGAAGATGAATCTTCCCATCAACAGCAACAAGTAGCTGTTTGAAAAGGAAAAAACAATCAAACCCAATAATTATCTTCATGTTTTAGGTAAAACCCATTTGATTTGGGGCGTACCCAAATCAAACTGAAATACGTTTTGTAATTTCTCGCTCATATATCCAACGGTGTTATAGTACGAGTCTCTAGTGATTTATCCATTGTACATATGGAAAAGATGTTGATTGGTAAGAAAATAGTGGTGTGTGGATTAATGTCAGGAGATATGATAAGTTATTGGTTGAATTTAGGATAAATGGTTTGTGTTGGAATGAATGATTATGAGGATATGGGGTTTGGGTAGAAGGGAAATGATCCACTTATTTATATGTTACTGGATCTGACATGAGTTCAAGAGGAAGTTTTGTCGGTAAAAAGTTGATGGATGAGAGAGTTTTGTGGTCAATGTTTGAAGGAAATTTAGTGGATGACAGTGACAGATGATGGAAGAGAGACAGTACACATGACTTCTATATTTGTGATTCACTTTTTGGTGTGTAAATGACAATTTGTTCTATTTCACAGTTGTACCGATTCAGCAATTTGGGCAGAGAAACATGTGCCAGTGAGAGAGAGATTTATGAGCAAAGAGAGATAAATTTGTGAGGGGAGAGAGAGGTGAGAGCATGGTATTAAATTTTCGGGCGTCGGTGGACGACATTTTATGTATCCATTGGTTCTACGTCAACATGAAAGATAAATCGATATGGATATAATATTGTAAAAAAATCGATAAAATATGAAAAATATCACTATTACAAACATAATATTAATATTAATCATTTTTATTTTATTTGAAAATGATGAAATACTTCTTTGTTAATTTAAGTATTTTTTACGAATTTTTTTTTTATAATTTTTTCAAAAATATCAATCAATGTATACGTGGATACGATATTTATATGTAATTACAAACATAATGTTAATATTAATCATTTTTTATCTTTTTTTTTATTTTTATGACTTTTCTAAAAATATGTATCAATATTTTATCGATATTTCCATAGACATTTTCGTCCACATCAACTTTCTTATTTGGTTTTCATCTTTTCACAAAATGTTTTCTTTTGGTCATTAAATTGAATTGATATTCTTTCCATATAATTTATTTAACTCTCTTGCTCAAAATTTTTCTCGTGCCATGAAAACTTGAGGTTTGTATTGTTTCGAGGAAGTAAAAATATTACGGAAGCAATAATAAAAATCTCAATTGGTAATGTTGGATGAATAATTATATCAAACAATTTTGTCACGATAAATGTTCATAAGGTTTTCATTCAAAGTATAATTTTGTTGCATTCGATTCATTTGAGTTTCTATTAGACTAATCAATCATAGTTTTTTTTTTCTTTCCTTCCATATTAGATGTGTTATACAACAAACGTAATTCAAACCGGTCTAAACAGGATTATTACACATTTTATAATGAAAACTATCTTTCTATCGCTTCTAGATTCTCATCCTTACAATTTTTATTTAAAAAAAAAAAATTTCTTCACTATTTGGTCAATGTCCTTTGCTCTTCATTTATGTCGTGTAATAATAGAATCACGAAGAACTCTACTATTAGCAATTAATCATTCATTCTTACTAAAAACATAAATGAGAGTCTTTCCCTGGTAAAAAAAAAAGTAGAGAAAAGAGGAGAACGAAGAGGGAAATTGGGATTGATTGGTTGAATTATATCCAAATGGATTTTAGGTAGTTGGTTTTAATTAAATTATTTTACAGTAGGGGTAAATATGTAAAATACTTTTTTTTTGTGAAACTCTCCAGGCTTTTCTTAAAAAATGCTTATCGATCTCTTTTGAATAATTTCTGGGCTGTCTGTTTCTGGGTTCGGCCCACTTTGTTCAACTAGACTACATTTGTTCCAAAATCTTCAGGCCCATTTATGTAATGGATCCGAGGCCCATTGCAACTCTTTTAGTTTTTTATTTTTATTTTATGAACCCTTGAAATTAATTTAGGTTTAAATCTTATTGTGGTCACTTGTATTCGGTTATATCTATTTTGATCTCTAAACTTTCTTAATGGTCAAAAGGTTGGATGAAAAGCTCCATGAATTTTGCACCACTGAGGTATTAGAGGACACGTTTTACGGCTTGTCAGTGAGCATCAGTTGGTTGTGTCAAGAATTGGCTCAAGTGGTTAATAATGTAGGAAATGTCCGGTCGAATGGTGGTGAGATATTGGAGAGCACCAATATACTGTGGGATCAGGAAGTGGGTGCCCATCATACAAAGATAAATGCTTCCCTACAATAGACGGAGACGGGACCAGTTTGAGACCTTCAAGCTGGAGCTTGTGGAGAAGATCATCAACATATTTGGACTAGTTTAGAATAAGTCCAGAGGATAATCTGTGTACTTCAATGCCTAGGAAATAACTCAACTGACCTAGATCCTTAAGTGCAAACTTCGAATTCATATATTATTTCATTTTGGTTCATGAACTTTCAAAATGTCTATTTAAATCATCGAATTAAAAAGAAAAATCATTTTGATAATTTATCTTACTTTAAACAAATTGCTATTGTGTGCTTTGAGCCTGTATAGTAATGATGTGATTATTGAGTGAGTGGATAATAGGTGACAAGATAATATAACAAAAATCAAAATAGTTATTTTTAGAAAATTTATGGACAAAAGTAAATATCTTGATTATTTTTAAAAATTTTCATGGACTAAAATAGCATTTAAACCTTATTATTTTTAATTCTTTTTAAGCACATATGATATTCCCTCCTACACGACTATTGTATTATTATTCTTTTAATTTATTAGATACATACAAAAATTTAATTATATTTTTTTTGTTTTGATATATGCCGCAATGTTATAAGTTTGATTGTTGAAAAAATCGTATGATTTTATAAAATCGTGTGCTTTTTTATCGCATATGAAATTTACATAGAATTTTTTTTGAAAATTTAGATAATTAGACATTATATTGTCATACTTGAACCTTTTTTTAATCTCAAATTTTCAAAGAGCTACAATAAAATGTTATACATATATTAATTTTGATATTAAATAAAAAGAAAAAAAAACTACCAAAACTTCATATGAAATATGAATTATAAGAGCTATTACAATTATATCATCCAACTTACCATTTAAAATTTAAATAATCATCTGTCTAGTAACAAAATCAGTACAAATAAATCTTACCATCATTGAGTTTTTTGTCCTCCTCTCTTTTCTAACTACAGCATTTAGGAGTTGGGATCTAACTCAGACTCTCGATTGAAGATATATACCAATTACTGCTAAACTATGCTTGCTTTGCTTACTATCATCTAGTTTTATTGCAATTATTTTCTACATTTAAATGCATAATTGCAAATACCCATAAAATTATATAATTGTTAATTTTGAGGATGATTTGAGGTCTCAATTTTAGGAAAAGATTGACATAAATATTGGTATCGTCAATGGATGTTCCAAAAAATATCATTCCACATTTAGACATTTTCTTAAAAATATCGACTAATTGTAGTGTCCAACCCTTCAATTCATAAAAATGTCGATGAAAATTATCGACATGTTAACACATGATAATACAATATAATGATACTTAAAATTTTTTTAGTACAATATGTCGGGGATGGATGATCGAGTTCACAACCTCTTAATTGAGACCTTGCCTTAACTACTTGAGTTATGTTTTGTTTGGCATAACACTGCTTCCACTAACTATCCAACTTTACGGTCAAAGCGAGAATAGTTCAACGGTAATTGACATATATCTCGAACTAAAAGGTGATGAGTTCGAATCCTCTCCCAACATATTGTACTTAAGAAAAATACCAACTTTACGTACACATTACTAATTTTTCTTAAACAAATGCAAAATATTGAATATAATTTTTTATTGAATATTTTCTTAGAACACCAACCAAATTTTTTAAAAGTTTAAAAGATTAAATTGATAATATAGTAATTTAACCAGTAATATTTTAACATA